GGCTATATAAAAACATAAAAGATTTCAGGTACTCCGACTAAAAACAAGCGAAAAAAGCCAAAATAGCAACAAAAGTCCACAAAAACTGTGGCAAAAAAGTCCACAAAAAATGCGACAAAAAACGATACAATAAAGCCCATTAAAAAAGTGAAAGAACAGGAGATTAAAAAGGAAGTAGCGAAAAACAACAAAAAAAGGCGTCCAAAAAAGCAACACCAAAAAGGTAACAAAATTAAACGATCAAAAAAGAAAAAGATGATACACAGGGAAGTAAAATAGCGATGAAATAAGGCGACAAAAAAGTAACAAAAAAAAAAAAACTAAGCTAAAAAAGTACACAAAAACTCCGACAAAAAAAAACAAATATGAAAAAATGTGAAAAAGACGAAAAGATGCTACAAAAAAAATTATAGAAAATGCGACAAAAAAAATTATAGAAAATGTGACAAAAAAAGCGATTAAATCGGAGCCAGACAAAACGCCACAAAAAAATCAGAAGAAGTCAACAAAAAAAAAGAGAAATAAAAGGCAAAGAAAAAGGACAAGAAAACGTATAACAAAAAAAATCACAAAAACTCCGACAAAAAAGGAGACAACAAAAGATCAGAAAAAAACTATAAAAAAAAAAACAAAAAAAAAGCAAAAAACTAAACAATACGAAAAAAGGCGACAAAGACAAAAGAACGAAAAAATGGAAATAAAAGAACTCGATGAAAAAAACAAAAATGCGAAAAAAAAGGCGATTAAAACGGAGCCAGAGGAAACGCAACAAAAAAACTCAGAAAAAGTCAACGAAAAAATGGAAATAAAAGGCAAATAAAAGACAAGAAAACGTAAAAAAAAATTTACAAAAACTAACCAAAAAAAGTCAAAACGGTGCAAAAAATGAAATCAAAAAGGAGACAGAAAAAAACAAAAAATCCACTAAAACTGAGACAAAAAAAGATCAGAAAAAAAAACAACAAAAAGGCGAGAAAAAAGGGAATAAAAACGACGTTAAAAAAAGGGACAAAAACGCGATAAAGAAACGGCAATTTAAAAAGTGATAAGAAAACGAAAAACTAAACAAAAAAATAGGATTGGAAAACAAAACAACAAAAAAGATGTTTAGAATACTAACAAAACAAAAGACAACACGTACTAATACACACAAAAAAAACAAACATTGAAGGAGGCAAAAGTCGAAAAAGAAATGCGACAAAAAAACGAGAAGTAAAAACGCGATACAAAAAACAATTAAAAAGTCTACAAAAAGCGACAAATAAAAGACAAAAGAAAGAACGAAAAAACGTGATAAAAAATGCGACGATATAAAAACATAAAAAAAATCACAGATACTGCGACCAAAAACAGGCGAAAAAAGCCAAAACAGCAACAAAGAAGTCCACGAAAACTGCGACAGCAAACTTCACCAAAAATGCGACAAAAAAATGACACAATAAAGCCAATTAAAAAAGTGAAAAAAAAGGACACGGAGAAAACACAACAAAATTAAACGATTACAAAAGAAAAAGATGATAAAAAGGAGAGTAAAAGACCGCGACCAAAAAAGACGACGAAAAAGCCAAAAAAAAACTACGACAAAAAAGTCTACAAAAACTGAGACAAAAAAAACAAATACGAAAAAAAGCGAAAAAATAGAAAAAAATGCGACAAAAAATAAAAGAACATGCGACCAAAAAGGGGATTAAAATGGATCCAGAAGAAACGCGCCAAAAAAAAACAGAAAAAAGTCACCAAAAAAAAGAGATATAAAAAAGCAAAAACCAAGGACAAGAAAAAGTAACGGAAAAAATGTTCACAAAAACTCCGATCAAAAAAAAGTCAAAACGGTGACAAAAAAAAATGCCAACAAAAATGATGGTAAAATATCGCCACAAAAAAAACAAGAAATCCACAAAAACTACAACAAAACACGAGACAACAAAAGATTAGAAAAAACAACTAAAAAAAGACGAAAAAAGCAAAAAAGAGGACTAAACAATGCAAAAAAAGCGACAAAAATAAACGAAAAGAATATGACAAAAAGGGGAACAAAAAACGCGACAAAAACAAACAAAAAATAAGGACTGGAAAGTATAAAAAACTCCCAAAAAAACCAGACACCAAAAAAGGGGGAAAGGTAAATAAAAAAAGTGACAAAAATAAACAAAGAAACAAACAAGCGACAAGAAAATTAAAGAAAACGCGACAAAAAAGCGACTAAAACGGAGCCAGAGGAAACGCGACAAAAAAAAAGGAAAACAAAAGGCAAACAAAAAGGACAAGAAAACGTAACAGAAAAAAATTTCCATAAAAATTCGAACCAAAAAGTCAAAACGATGACAAAAAAAAACAGAAATCCACAAAAACTACGGCAAAAAACGAGACAATGAAAAATCAGAAAAAAGACAAAAAAGACGAAAAAGGCTAAAAAGGGAACTTAACAATGTCAAAAAAAAGCAGCAAAAAGAAAGCAAAAAAAATAGGAAGGATAGGAAATAGGAAATTGCGTCAGAAAGCACAAAAAAATGCAACAAAAACAAGACACCAATAAAGAGGGATTAAAAATTACGAAATAAGAACATCAAAAAAAGCGATAAAAAACAAAAGGCCAAAAAAAGTCACCAAAAAAACTGAAAAAACGACGAAAAGGCATCATCAAATTTTTGGAGCGAATGCAAAATTTTGATTTCCCCAGTTCAAATTCGGTTTTATGATAGTATTGTACTCCCAGTTTAAAGTGGTTTCTATGATGGGTCCATTGTATCGAAGGTGATGATGGGGACAATAGAGTAAATCCCTAGGCATAAATAAGAAACTGGTCGGTTTCTTGAAGGGTCGTACTTTGTTATTCAACTCATATTATCCCTCGTGGGGTAATAATGAGGTGATAATGTTTATTATCTTGTCATAAAAACCACTTTAAACTGGGAGTACAATACCCCATTGTGTAAAAGTTAACTACCTTAACAATATAGTACTACTGCTGGTAATGGGACAGTCATAAATAAGATTTCACCATGCCCATACCATTATACACTATAATGGTTAAATCCTTATTTATGACTGTCCCATCACCGGCAGTAGTAATCTATTGTTAAGGAAGTTACCTTTTAAACATCATAAAACCGAATTAGAACTGGGGAAACTATACTACATTTACGACACAATTTAAAAATTTCAGTCAAGCAGCTGACGATCGGGAAGTAAAAATTATTTAAATTTTCAGAACCAGCACTTTTTTCTTATTCACATTTCATGGACGACTTGAGACACGGGTTTTTAAAAGCAATCAAACTACGGATTATTTTTACCTACCTATAAATGTTCAAAAAATATAGGAGTAGTATCGACATAAAATAATGATTAATGTTTAGTTTTTTATTGAAACTGTAGAAGTCAACTTAACGAGTTTCATACTAATTAGAGTCCGAAATCTGCATATATTTATTTTATTATACGAGATTATAGGGCCAGTTTTTGAGCGTCAGTAAATCGATCAAACTACGATAAAACACCATATATATCGATCTTATCACGTTCCTTGAATTACAATAAAACTCCTCGACGTCTGAAGGGCATAAAACTCCCGTGACTCACCCGTCTTTCAGCGACCGCTCATAAGAAACTTCCAAACACCAGTCCATAACATACCCATCCACCTCAAAATGAATCATCCAAAAATAAGCAAATACAATTTCCAGCACTACCAATCAGCTTATTGTTCTAGCCATCGCTACTTCCTAAACGAATTTCCAAACAAACAACAATGTTTAGCTTTGTTCAGATACTAAATCAATGCTCTGTGAGGTTTGCGCTTCGCCGTGTGATTCACCCTTTGTTGACGGAAATTGATTGTTAAAACCCTTTCAAACTAGACACACCGATGCAGTAATTAATTAATTATCGCACCACATGCACCACACATGAATCGTATAACGCATTTTTCCCCGCATTCATTTCCTCCGCCTCGACCAGACCATCGTGCAAATATTTATCCGAGGAAATCGGGTCGATCCGAGGAAGTCGCGCAACGTGAACCCAATTACATCATCCGCAAGACCGTGAACCATTTATGCCAATCACTGGAAAAAAAGAGAAAAGAAAAGGACCTGGTATCACCCCAGGACCAGGCTATTGACACATAGAGTGTGCACAATCTCGACTAGCAAATTAGGCTATCGACGTTTGCGTTGACGCTGTTTGCTTCGATATCGGTGAACCACCCCATATCCATCCGAATAAACAAATTAGGGTGTTGACACTCTGATAAAGAACACGAAAAGGGGCGACCAACACGCAGTCAACAACCCCAGGCCCCACTTTCGCGGCGTCTGCACGCAATGTCAAGGCTTCCGGGGGCTCCCGAAACGGGAAGCCGTCCCTGGCACGGTGCCCATTTGGGCGTTCCGCCGCATTCCTCACCAGGAAGCCCCTGTAACTCTACACTCCTCGGCACGTGACAAGCGCCGATTTTCGTTCATTTCGGCCCACAATTAAAGTCGCTAGGCGTAGTGGTGGACATGTGCTGAATGGGCAATTAGTCGTTACAGTTAATTCGGCAGCGGAGCGTTAAAAGGGGGCGCCACGACGACGAAGGGCCGCTTTCGGGGCCCCGAGGGCTGCAAGCGACACCCGAGCCCGAAAATAAATATTTGAATTAATAAATAGGCACAAAAATAACGAAAGCGTAACGGCCGAGTTCTGGGCCAAAGGCGGCCGAAATTCTCGACGGGACTTACGGGGAAATGCTCAGGCACTGCTCACGCGGGTTTTCTTCCACATTTTCACACACAAAAATCTTCAAATGCGAGGAATTAATCACAGATGTAACAAACACAAACTTTTATTATGACCGCCATCTTATCTAATTTGACGTTTGCGGGGCGACACCTAGCGGCGGGTCGGACGGGCGACCGGTAAATTTGAAACGGGGTATTGTTGGTTGCCTACGTACGATTTTATTGATAATTGTATCGCTTTAAACAAAATTGAGATTATTAACTGTTATTAACAAAATGGACGCAATTCAGTTCAGATCTGAGGAACAAAAAATTGAGTGTGTTACGGTTCCAGTACCTGTGATCACGCATCCGAGGGAAGTTCTTGTTAAAGTTGCGTATTCGGGAGTTTGTGGCACCGATTTGCACATTATACACGTAAGATTTCATTATTACATGTTAATCAAGCTTCATTTATTAGTTTCCACGTTCCTTCTAGGGCGCATTTCCCTGCAACCCACGTCCCTTAACCCTCGGCCACGAATTCTCGGCCACCGTCGTCGACTACGGCCCCCTAGTCACCACCCTGTCCAAAGGCGACCACGTCATAGTCGACCCTAATAGCGCCTGCCACAAGTGCCACTTCTGCCACACCGGTAACCCCCACTTCTGCACCACCGGCGGCTTTTACGCCAACCTAGGGGTGAAAAACCATGGTGGGTGGGGCGAATACTGCCTATGCTCCATCGAACAAGTCTACAAGCTCCCCACCACCATCTCCCTAAAAACGGCCGCTTTAGCCGAGCCTGTGTCTTGCATCTCGCACGGTTGGGATTTAGTGTCGCCCCTCCCACTAGGCGGAGATGTCCTTGTAATAGGGGCGGGGATTATCGGCACTCTGTGGGCGTGTTTGCTGCATTTGCACGGCCACAGAAGAGTGACGGTGGTCGAACTAAACGCACGAAGAAGACATTTGATTGGGGGTTTGATGGGTGAGATGGGGTATGACGTGGTGGCACCAGAAGACGTGAAAATGGATGGAGGAGGGTTTGATTTGGTGGTGGATTGTTCGGGGTACGGGCCTGCTGTGGAAAAAGGGGTTGAGTTGTTGAAGAGTGGCGGGAAAATTTGTATGTTCGGGGTGGCGCCACCTGGAGTGAAAATTTCGTACGGTTAACACACTTTTTTGTCTTGTTTTTGAAAAATTAATTATTTTAGGGTCTCCCCGTATATGATTTATATGAAAGAATTGACTCTACTGAGTGTTAAAGTTAATCCGTTCAGTTTTACTAAAGCGGTGGCTTTGGTGGAAGCTATGGCCGACAAGTAGGTACCTCGTGATTTAAATGTAAGTTTTGATTGGTGGGTTGTAGATATCTCGACTACGATAAGTTAGGGATTAAGGTGTTCAAGTTAAGGGAGTTTCAAGAGGCACTTAAGGCTCTCAAAAATGGCGATATTACGAAGGCGATTTTCGAGGTTTAGTTCGTGCTTGTAAAGTTGTAAAACAATAAATGGTGATTTTGATAACAACTTCACGTTTTTTTTTGATGGCCATTATATTGTTTCACGGAAATTGCACTTGAAAGTTTAATAGATGTGATAGCATGTATAATATTTACTTGGCTGTTCATATACATAAATACACTGTGTGTCTACTTTGCATATGCTAACAAATAATACTTATCAGGCTTATCAGTAATTATGGTATCAATATGAGGGTCTTTATTTCTGACTCGTTAAAGTTATGTATCTTCAAGTTTAAAAAAAAAACTAATACACTGTCAATTATATAAAGATAACAACTATTTTTTTACTAGTTATAACTGAGAAACGAAACTTAAGTATTTTAACCCAAGTTTAACAAGAAAAACTTTTTTTGTTGGTACTGAAATTTCCTCATTCCTCTAGTGACGTACCTACATTTCTCTAAAATATCAGATCTACGTCGTTCGGAATTAGTGAAAAAAGTTCCATTTTTTCATAACCTCGCTGACTCTAGTTGACGTAATTGTGACATTTACATTTAGTTATGCCAACAGAAAAAAAATACACCACTTTGTTGTAAATTAAATGTATTGGTTTGAAAAAAGATTCATATGTATCACACGAAAGAACAAATTAAATTGTAGCATTTTGTAGATAACTATTTGACCTTTTTACTTTCTTGACGTCACACCAGATTTATCACATTAAGCAAAATAATAATTGCATACGATTGTACAGATTAGTGCAAACAAATTGTATTTGTTTAAAATATAGACATATATATGTGTCAACAATTTGACAGTTAACAGCTCACTCTGTATATGTGTAAGTAAAACTAGTTCTCTACACAAATACTTGTAACTAAATTAACATTTGCGGTTTAAGTATTCATTAATTTCGAGAAAAACCTTGACACTACTTTATAAATAGTACATATTTAACAACAACATAATCAGTTTCCATTGTGCTCACTAATGTAAGTATAATAATAATAATAATAATGACATAAACAAACGCAAATTTTGCTCTCTGGATTATCTAAACTAAATCTCCAACAACCAATTAAGCTTAATCCATTTAAATCCAATTTTATTATCAATTTAGCATAACTAAATAAAACACAAAAAACGTCGGCGCCATCATCACTCTTACTTCTTACATAACCCGTACATTCCCAGCTCAACATCTTCACGGGTCACCACCAATTGATACCATTATCAATATACGTTGTAAAGCGTTTTTTATCAACCATAATCCATAGATTACATCATCAACAAACAAGCAAAACATATAAATACACGTTGTACACTCTGAAAAAACAGAACGTGTCCAGCCGCCAAGATGGAAGCCCTCCGGTATACAGCCAAAGACAAAAAACTTGAACTAACCAAAGTAGAAGTGCCCAAAATCACCAACCCCGACGGGATTTTAGTGAAAGTCGCTTACGCAGGAATTTGCGGCACGGATTTGCACATCATACAAGTACGTTAATATACATTCTTTGACCTTGTTTGTCTTTGTAATGGAGATTAGTTATCGGTTTGTCGTTAGGGCGAATTTCCGTGCAACGCAGAGCGGACTTTCACCCTAGGGCACGAATTTTCGGGAACTGTGGTCGAAGTCGGCGCCAATATTAAAACTTTCAAGGCGGGAGACAGGGTTTCAGTCGATCCCAACAGGTATTGGCAACACTGAAACTGGGGTTTTTCTGACTGTTGAGTTGCAGCGGGTGCAAATGTTGTCACTTCTGTCATTCGGGCCGGCCCCACTTTTGCAAAATAGGCGGAATTAACAACACTATTGGCATCTATAGAGACGGAGGATGGGCGAATTACGTCGTCTGTCCAGAGGACCAAGTGCACAAGTTGCCAGACACCATCACTCTAGAACAAGGTTAAAAACCAAAAACCCTAAACTAAAAACACACTAAAAGTGACGTTTTACCTGGTTTTAGCCGCTCTCACTGAACCGTTGTCGTGCTTAGCCCATGGCTGGGACATCGTCAGCCCCATCCACGTCGGTAACAAGATTCTAGTGACCGGCGCCGGCATCATCGGTAATTTATGGGTGTGCGCCCTACATCTTCAAGGTCACCGAAACGTCACAGTGTCGGAACCCAACACCGCGCGACTTGACATGTTAAAAAAGCTAAGTCAGTCGTACCAACCATCAATAGTCACAGAAATAACCAGTTGATTTCAGATACGGGTTATAAACTAATCACCCCCAACCAACTCAAGGAAAAGCAAGCCGCCGATCCTAACTACTTGTTCGACGTGATTATCGACTGCAGTGGTTTTCCGCCAGCCATCGAGCACGCCATTTCGCTTTTGAATTCAGGCGGGAAGTTGTGTATTTTCGGGGTGGCGCCCCCTCACGGCCGCATTTCGTAAGTAAGGTGGGGTTTGTGAGGTTAGGTTAGTTAATTGGTGTTGTAGGGTTGCCCCGTTCGATATCTACATGAAAGAGATGAAGATTTTTGGGGTTAATATTAACCCGTTTAGTTTCCCGAAGTCGCTGGGGTTGTTGGAAGCTATGGGAGATAGGTATTTGAATTATGGGAATCTGGGGATTAAGACGTTCGCGCTTAATCAGTACCAGGAGGCGATTGAGCACTTGAAGAAGGGGACCATTGCTAAGGCTATATTTAAGCTGTAATGTCGTGGTGATGGAACAATAAACTGTTGTTTGTTTGTTAGAGTGTATTTTTGTGCCGCTCGCTTGAAACTGAGTTGTACTAAACGTAAACTGAGTCAAAGGTGGCTGTGATATGCTGACTTTGTAATTAGGTATAGCTTGAGGGATTATAACTTGTTATTTCCAGTAGCGATTAGGTAATAAAACAATTTGATTGTATCTCGTAAAGTTTTATTATCGAAAATATCAAATATATTGCTACTAAAACTAGTTTTTTTATAAATCCACTGATCCACATGATGGAAAAAAGTCGTCTAGTGGACCATGAAATTTATTTTTAAAATAATGATGTTGCAGCTATTTGACACTTTATTTGACAGTCACTTTCGGTCAATCGTCGTCTCGCCACTTGTCACCCCCGCAGGGGCGAAGCCGCCACAATGAATACCATGGACGCCCTCAAATTCTCTTTTTTAGACGGAACCTTACTACTAACGCGTTCCGAACTACCCCAAATAAACGACCCCAACGACATCCTCGTCAAAGTATCATTTGCTGGAATCTGCGGCACCGACCTCCACATTCTAGCCGTAGCTAAACCACTTCCTTAAAAAACCCTCAACCATTTCCCGTTCCAGGGCGAGTACCCTTGTAGAAAATCAACAGAAATCAGCCTGGGGCACGAAATCTCGGGAGTAATCGTCGAAGTGGGACAAGATGTCATCCACTTCGAAGAAGGCGACCACGTCGCCATAGACCCCAACAGGTAAAACCCAACCAGTTTGACCAACCTGAACGAAATGGTTGTAGCGGTTGCAAACGTTGCGCTTTCTGCCACGCCGGCAAGCCCCACTACTGTAAACTCGGATGCACCACCAATACCATTGGTATCTACGTGGATGGGGGATGGGCACAGTACTTGGTATGTCCGGAAGAACAAGTCTACAAACTAAACCCACCCATAACCCTCGAACAAGGTAAGTCAGTTTGGTAGAAAATGGTGGATGCGCCGGTTTTTCTAGCCGTTCTTGCTGAACCCATATCTTGCATGGTACACGGATGGGAATTGATAAGTCCCATCACTGTGGGTGCGAAGATCCTGTTGATGGGTGGAGGAGTAGCTGGGGCTTTATGGGCCTGCACTTTACATCTGCAAGGTCACAGGGACGTGATGATATCCGAGCCGATTCAAAGCCGGCTTGACCAACTCCGGAAACTAAGTTGGTACGAGTGGTATAGGGGGTTTTGTTAGTAACGTTGTCGTTTTGGTAGATACTGGGTTTAAAATGATCACTCCGGAGCAGCTGAGGAAGAATGCGTACGACGATCCGGGTAGTTATGCGTTCGATGTGGTGATCGATTGTAGTGGCTCTCCCCCTGCTATCGAACAGGGAATTTCGCTTTTAAATTTTGGGGGAAAGTATTGTCAGTACGGGGTGGCGCCTCCTAACAGCAGAATCCAGTAACACACACGTGCCCAAAGGGGTTAAATATTATTATTGCGTTGTAGAATCAACCCTTTTGACGTTTTCTGGAAAGAAATGAAGATTTTAGGGTCGAAGATCAACCCCTATTGTTTTAAGAAGGCGCTGAGTCTTATAGAAGCAATGGGAAACAGGTAAATCATGATTTTTTTTTAATTTGTAGCTTATTTTTTTGCAGATACTTAAACTACAAAGTGCTGGGAATCAAGACCTTCCAGTTGAGTCAATATAATGAAGCTATTGAAACTCTGAAACAAGGTAAAATTCTGAAGGCGGTCTTCAAAATAAATTAATGAAACGAAAACAGTGCAAATACCCTAAACATCTAAGAACAAAAGTAATAAACGACTTCTGAAATTTTCAAACTTTAGTTTTTTTGTACGAAATATGAAACACAGACCATTAAACAAATGTTCTTAAGAATTCTGCTGTTCAAATTAAATGTATTAAGTAAAAAGAAAGTCAAAGGTAAGCTCCACCCATCCGTCTCGATCTCAGTAGTTCAAAATCGGCTTTTCCCCATAAAAATTTACGATTTTAAATATGTTTCAAGTTTCTTGTTGTAAAAAGAAGACTACAAATATTACAAAAAGAAAAAACACAAAATCTAAGCCCCGCCCACCCACCCTATCTTAATTGTGATGATTTATTTTATTGGTCGTGAAGCAATGAGGCGTAAGATCGTAATTGCAAAACCCCTATTTCTTCACAAGAAATAAAAAAAAGTTTTTTTATTATCGTTTTCATAAGAGAAAACTAAATGTACTAAGTACAATTTAAGACAAAATCTAAGCCCCACCCACCCGCCCTATCTCAATTGTGACGATTTATTTTATTCGCTGTGAGCCAAGAGGGTGGAGCTTAATTGCAAAATCCTTATTTCTCTACAAAAAATTAAAAACATGGATTTGAGTGTCGTATTGTTCAAAGAAATCTAATTGTATTCAGTAAAAGAAAGTCAAAGGTAAGCTCCACTCATCCGTCTCGACCTCAATAGCTAAAAATCGGGTTTTCCCTACAAAAATTTACCATTTTAAATATGTTTCAAGTTTCTTGTTGTACAAAGAAAACTACAGACATTAGAAAAAAAAAACAAAACCTAAACCCCGCCCACTCACCCTGTCTCAATTGTGATGATTTATTTTATTGGTCGTGATGCAAGGAGGCGTAAGATCGTAATTGCAAAATCCCTATTTCTCCACAAGAAATAAAAATTAGGTTTTTGAGTATCGTTTTCATAAGAGAAAACTAAACGTATTAAGTAGAATTTAAGACAAAATCTAAGCCCCACCCACCCGCCCTATCTCAATTGTGATGATTTCTTTTATTCGCTGTGAGCCAAGGGGGTGGAGCTTAATTGCAACATCCTTATTTCTCTACAAGAAATTAAAAACATGAGTTTGAGTGTCGTGTTGTTCAAAGAAATCTAATTATATTCAGTAAAAAAAAAGTCAAAGGTAAGCTCCACCCATCCATCTCGATCTCAGTACTTCAAAATCGGCTTTTACCTACAAAAATTTACCATTTTAAATATGTTTCAAGTTTCTTGTCGTAAAAACAAGACTACAGATATTAGAAAAAAAGACAAAATCTAAGCCCCGCCCACCCACCCTATCTCAATTGTGATGAATTTTTCTTATTCGTCGTAAGCCGGAGGTGGAGCTTAAAAATTTATTTATTTCGAGGAATTACCAAATGACAAATGTTCTTAAGAATTCTGCTGTTCAAATTAAATGTATTAAGTAAAAAGAAAGTCAAAGGTAAGCTCCACCCATCCGTCTCGATCTCAGTAGTTCAAAATCGGCTTTTCCCTACAAAAGTTTACCATTTTAAATATGTTTCAAGTTTCTTGTTGTAAAAAGAAGACTACAGATATTAGAAAAAAAAGACAACATCTAAGCCCCGCCCACCCACCCTATCTCAATTGTGATGATTTATTTTATTGGTCGTGATGCAATGAGGCGTAAGATTGTAATTGCAAAACCCCTACTTCTTCACAAGAAATAAAAAAAAAGTCTTTTTAGTATCGTTTTCATAAGAGAAAACTAAATGTACTAAGTACAATTTAAGACAAAATCTAAGCCCCACCCACCCGCCCTATCTCAATTGTGACGATTTATTTTATTCGCTTGAGCCAAGGGGGTGGAGCTTAATTGCAAAATCCTTATTTCTCTACAAGAATTAAAAACATGGGTTTGAGTGTCGTGTTGTTCAAAGAAATCTAATTAGATTCAGTAAAAAAAAGTCAAAGGTAAGCTCCACCCATCCACCTCGAGCTCAGTAGTTCAAAATCGGCTTTTCCCCACAAAAATTTACCATTTTAAATATGTTTCAAGTTTCTTGTTGTAAAAAGAAGACTACAGATGTATTGAAAAAAAAAAAAAAATCTAAGCCCCGCCCATCCACCCTATCTCAATTCTGATGATATATTTTATTGGTCGTGAAGCAAGGAGGCGTAAGATCGTAATTGCAAAACCCCTATTTCTCTACAAGAAATAAAAATTAGCTTTTTGAGTATCGTTTTCATAAAAGAAAACTAAATGTATTAAGTAAACTTTAAAACAAAATCTAAGCCCCACCCGCCCGCCCTATCTCAATTGTGACGATTTATTTTATTCGCTGTGAGCCAAGGGGGTGGAGTTTAATTGCAAAATCCTTATTTCTCTACAAGAATTAAAAACATGGGTTTGAGTGTCGTGTTGTTCAAAGAAATCTAATTGTATTTTTACTTAATTTACCATTTTAAATGTTTCAAGTTTCTTGTTATAAAAAGAAGACTACAGATATTAGAAAAAAAAACAAAATCTAAGCCCCGCCCACCCACCCGATCTCAATTGTGATGATTTATTTTATTGGTCGTGAAGCAAGGAGGCGTAAAATCGTAACTGCAAAATCCTTATTTCTCCACAAGAAATAAAAATTAGCTTTTTGAGTATCGTTTTCATAAAAGAAAACTAAATGTATTAAGTAAATTTTAAAACAAAATTTAAGCCCCGCCCACCCGCCCTATCTCAATTGTGATGAATTGTTCTATTTGTCGTGAGCCAAGAGGGCGGATCGTAATTGCAAAATCGTTGTTTCTCTACAAAAAATTAAAACCATGTTTCTGAGTATCGTCATATTCAAAGAAAATTAAATGTGTTAAATAAGAAGGAAGCCAAAGATAAGCTCCACCCATCCGTGTCTATCTTAGTCGTGATGACTTTTTCATTCGTTGTCAAACTTTGAGGCGGGGAGTAATTGCAAAATGGGTATTTCCCTAAAAAATTTACTATTTTAAACATGTTTTAAGTTTCTTGTTATGAAAAGAAGACTTAGACATATTAGAAAAAAACAATGAAAAACGTAAGCCCCACCCACCTGCCCTATCACAATTGTGATGAATTATTTGATTCGTCGTGAGCCAAGGGGCGGATCGTAATTGCAAAATCCTTATTTTTCTACGAGAAATTAAAAACATGTTCGTGGTTATCGTGTTTTTCAAAGAAAAGTAAATGTATTAAGTAAAAAGAAAGCCAAATATAAGCTAGTACTTGCTAAAATAGGACTGATTTTGACAAATGAAATCCCCTCTAACAAAAGTGAGGGTGGGTGGGCGGGGCTAATACTTACTAAGATAAGACTGATTTTGGCAGATGACATGTCCGTTAAAAAATAGAGGGCGGGTGGGCGGGGCTACTGTTTGGTAAGATAAGACTGATTTTGGCGAATGACATGTTTTAAGTTTCTTGTTATGAAAAGAAGACTTAGACATTATTAGAAAAAACAAAGAAAAACGTTTGCTTAATGGTCTGTGCATGGCCGACTAGTATAAAGATTATGGCCTGTCCAAGAGGTACGATACGTGTTGCCATCTATTAATAATTACACTTAATAATTTAGCAAAATTTTAATTTGACTTGACATTATGGGACTTCAAAACGTGTAATGGTGGTTTGTTTCGGTATGAATGCCTTTGTGCCTTTCAAAACGTGTTAATAATTCTTTTGTCGTTTTTGAATTATTAATAGATGGCAGCACGTAATGTACCTTTGACATTCCTTTGGACAGGCCATAATCTTTATACTAGTCGGCCATGGTCTGTGATATGAAACCAGTTACAGATTTCTGTAACTCAAGGTAATCAGATCAAGGAAATCGTTAACGCACTCTAAATGACATTTGTGTGATTTGTGTATTTAGGTTAGGTTTAAAATGTTCACCGAAGTTGTTTCATGATTTTTCGCTGAACTATTGGGTAAAACAATCGATTTCGCTTGCACAAGTTAATAAATCAGGTCCGACAACATGCCCGCGCTGGAATTTTCCGAAAAGTATGCCCGCATGGGTTTCTTCGCCAACAAGGTCCACAATTGCAAAATTTGCCCGTTCTTCACCACATCAGTGTTCCGAATGGTAAACCATGTGAGAACCCACCGTTCACCGTTAACCCATTTCGACTGCGAAAAATCCAAAATTGAAGTATACCTTTGCAAAGACTGCAACTTGCAGACCGACCTAACCTTAGTTATGAATCGACACATCAAAAAGCAGCACAGTTCTCAACCACAAAACGTAAGCAACTCGCAAGAAAACAAAATTCGGAGATATATTTGCAAACAATGTAGTTTTGAAACTTATTTTATGTTGAAATGGCTGCAACACGCCCGAAGGTGCCTAGAACCTAACGAAACATCAACAACTAACGCAACACCACAAACAGGTTGGTAAAACTGTTCATACGAAAACATAAATGCGACTATGACGTATTTGCAGAAATCAAGGAGTCACACCAGGATTTAAGTGTAAAATGGCACGAATGCAACTATTGTTCATTCAAGACAGACAAAAAGGATTATTTAAAAGGACACATCATTAAGACTCATCACAACCACGTTGAATGGCACTGGTGTGACCAGTGCCCATACAAAGCCAAATGTTACTCTGAGTTAAACACACACAAACGTAAGCGTCATTTAAACAACATAGATAAAACGGATTTTGTTTGGCACAAATGTGCGCATTGTGCGTTGAAAACGTTTTCCTTGGACTTTTTAAACAGACACGTTAGTGAAAAACACAAAATTAAGTGTGATCAATGTTCGTTCAAAACGACGCAAAAATATCATCTGATACGTCACACCCTGAAACTGCACAAGCGCGAGCGGGTTAAGTGGTTCGAGTGTGATCAATGTCCATTCAGATCCGAAGTTAAGGTTAAGTGGAAGCAACACGTGCTCAAACATCATGTCGTTAACGAAAAAGTGTCTTATAAGTGTGGTCTTTGCGATTTTAAAAGTTCGGCTCAAGATTTAGGTAGGCATATACTTGAAATTCATGCAAATTCGGGGATACATTAGATTTTTTTAATGGGTTTTTAGGGGGATTTTGTTGTGGGTATGATAATTTGTGCAACTATAGTGATATATGTAGCATTTTCATATTTTCCCATATTTTACAAATAGATTAATCACAGTTATTCACTTGTAATATTTATTTATTCATTCCTTCCCATAATTTGATGGCGTTATTGCAAAAAAATGTTTACAAAATAATTTGCTTTGATCTTTCTGTTTCACGTGGGTGTATATTTGGTTGCATACACACATTTCTTTAATATTTAAACACATTTTTTAAGACTTGAGGCCCTCATACATTAATTTCCGCACCCGTACCGACCAATCACAACAAAGTATTTTTAGAAAATTTTTAGATTTGACAGTTTCTCGTTTTTTCGATTTTTCCATTTTAAGATTTGTTTTTTTTTTTCAATTGTTGATTTTTTCGTTATCAGATTTTTTATTTTCGCTATTTTATCAACATTTCAGTATTTCAATTTTATTTATTGTTCAATGTTTCATTTTTTTCAATTTTTCAGTTTTCGATTTTTTAATTTTACGGTTTTTAGATGTTTATTTTGACATTCTTCAGCATTTTTGAATTTTACAATTTGTCGACTTTTATATTTCTAGAAAATTTTGTTTTCCGTGTTTTTCTATTTCTCGATTTTTAATTAATCAGTTTTTCGATTTTATAGTTTTTTTTTCATTTCTTCAATTTTTCCATTTTTTTTTCAAATTTACAATTTTGTAATTGTTTCATTTTTAAATCTGCCAATTTTTAATTTCTCACTTTTTTCAAATAATTATTAGGGTTTTTATTATTCAGTTTTTGGTTTTTCCATTTTCCGATCTTTCAGTTTCTGTAGTTTTTCAATGCTTCGATTTTTCAACTTTTCGTTTTTGCAATTTCTTAATTTAGTTTTCCAGTTTTCATTTTAAAATTTTTGAATTTTGTATTTTTTTTTTGTATTTTTGATTGTTTAATTTGTAGAAGTTTTTGTTTTTCGCTTTTTCAATTTTTCACTTTCTCGATTTTTAATTAATCAGGGTTTTCAGGCTTCAATATTACAATTTTTCGATTTTTCAATTGTTTTTTCAATTCTTAAATTTTTCGATATTTCAAGTCTCATTTTTTCGGTTTTTTCAAGTTTTCTTTATTTTTTCGATTTCTCAATTTTTGATTTTTCAATTCAATGCAAAATTTCAGTTTTAATAAATTTGTCCTTTTGTTGAACAATTAAAAAATGACAAATCGAGAAAATGAAGAAATAAAAATCGAGGATTTGAAAAATTTTATATGGAAAAATTGCAGAATTGTTTCTTTTTGTCGATTTTTCAATTTCTCGACTTAACAATTGTTTTGTTTTTTGATGTTTCAGTGTTATAATTTTCCGATTTTTCAAAAGTTTAGTTTGAATAAATTTGTCCTTTGTTAAACAATTAAAAAATGAAAAATCGAGAAAACGAAAAATTAAAAATCGAGAATTTCAAAAATTTTTTTTTCGAAAAATTGCAGAATTGCTTCGTTTTGTTGATTTTTCAATTCCTACATTTTTAATTTATCACTTTTTCAGGTTTCAATGTTACAAATTTTCGATTTTACAGTTTCATTTTTTAATTGTTTTTTCGTTAACCAATTTTCAGTTTGCCATTTTTTTCAATTTTTCGATATTTCAAGTTTGGTTTTTCAATTTTTGATTTTCAATTTTTTATTTCTTCAATTTTTCCATTTTTATTTTTTTTTTAATTTACAATTTTGTAATTGTTTCATTTTTAAATATGCCGATTTTTAATTTCTTATTTTTTACGATAATTTTATTATTATTCAATTTTTGGCTTTTCCATTTTCCGATATTTCAGTTTCTGTATTTTTTCAATTCTTCGATTTCTCAACTTTTAAACTTTTCCATGTTTCGTTGTTACAATTTCGTATTTTTTTTTTTTTGTATTTTTAATTGTTTAATTTATAGAAGTTTTTGTTTTTCGTTTTTTCAATTTTTCATTTTCTCGATTTTTAATTAATCAGGGTTTTCAGGTTTCAATATTACAATTCTTCAATTTCTCAATTTTTTCATTTTTCGATTTTTCAATTTTTAAATTTTTCGATATTTCAAGTCTCATTTTTTCGGTTTTTTCAAGTTTTCTTTATTTTTTCAAATCTTCGATTTCTCAATTTTTTGTTTTTCAATTCAATTCAAAATTTCGGTTTAAATAAATTTGTCCTTTGTTGAACAACTAAAAAATTAAAAATCGAGAAAATGAAAAATTAAAAATCGAGAATTTGAAAAATTTTATGTGGAAAAATTGCAGAATTGTTTGGTTTTTTCGATTTTTCGATTTTTAATTAATCAGGGTGTTGAGGTTTCAATATTACAATTTTTCGATTTTTCAAGTTTCATTTTAAAATATTTGGATTTTGAAATTAAAATTTTTTGTATTTTTGATTATTTAATTTATAGAAATTTTTGTTTTTCACTTTTTCAATTTTTCTATTTTTAATTAATCAGGGTTTTCAGGTTTCCATACTACAATTTTTCGATTTTTCAATTTTAAAATTTTTCGATATTTCAAGTTTCATTTTTCAATTTTTGAATCTCATTTTTTTGATTTTTTCAATTCTTCGACTTCTCACTTTTTAAATTTTTTGATTTTTCAGTGTTTCGTTTTTTCGATGTTACAATTTTTTAACTTTTCCATGTTTCGTTCTTACAATTTCTTAATTTTTCAGATTTCCGGTTTTCATTTTAAAATTTTTGAATTTTGATTTTTTTTTTGTATTTTTGATTGTTTAATTTATAGAAGTTTTTGTTTTTCGGTTTTTCAATTTTTCACTTTCTCGATTTTTAATTAATCAGGGTTTTCAAGTTTCAATATTACAATTTGCGATTTTTCAATTTTTAAATTTTTCTGTATTTCAAGTTTCATTTTTCAGTCTTTATGTCTCATTTTTTCGGGTTTTTAAGTTATCTTTATTTTTCAATTCTTCGACTTCTCAATTTCTTGATTTTTCAATTCAATTCAAAATTTCGGTTTGAATAAATTTGTCCTTTTGTTGAACAATTAAAAAATGACAAATCGAGAAAATAAAGAAATAAAAATCGAGAATTTGAAAAATTTTATATCGAAAAATTGCAGAATTGTTTTTTTTTGTTGATTTTTCAATTTCTCGATTTTTAATTGTTTCGTTTTTTGATGTTTCATGTTACATATTTTCTGGTTTTTCATAAGTTCAGTTTGAATAAATTTATCCTTTGTTGAACAACTAAAAAATGAAAAATCGAGAAAATGAAAAATTAAAAATCGAGATTTTGAGAAATTTTATATCGAAAAATTGCAGAATTGCTTCGTTTTGTCGACTTTTCGATTTCTCGATTTTTAATTAATCAGGGTGTTGAGGTTCAAATATATATTACAATTTTTCGATTTTTCAATTATCCAAATCAATTTCTCAATTTTGTCATTTTTCGATTTTTCAAGTTTCATTTTAAAATATTTAGATTTTGAAATTATTTTTTTTTGTATTTTTGATTATTTAATTTATAGAAATTTTTGTTTTTCATTTTTTCAACTTTTCTATTTTTAATTAATCAGGGTTTTCAGGTTTCCATATTACAATTTTTCGATTTTTCAATTTTAAAATTTCAAGTTTCATTTTTCAATTTTTGATTCTCATTTTTTCGGTTTTTTCAATTTTTCTTTATTTTTTCAATTCTTCGACTTCTCAATTTTTAAATTTTTTGATTTTTCAATTTTATAATTTTTAGACGTTTCAATGTTACAATTTTCTGATTTTTAAATTTTTCAAAATTTCGGTTTGAATAAAGTTGTCCTTTTGTTGAACAATTAAAAAGTGAAAAATCGAGAAAATAAAGAAATAAAAATTGAGAATTTGAAAAATTTTATATCGAAAAACTGCAAAATTGTTTCTTTTTGTTGATTTTTTGAATTTCTCGACTCTTAATTATTTTGTTTTTTGATGATATTTCAGTTTCAATTTTTCGGTTTTTCAAAAGTTCACTCTGAATAAATTTGTCCTTTTGTTGAACAATTGAAAAACGAAAAATCGAGAATTTGAAAAATATATCGAAAAATTGCTGCGTTTTGTCGATTTTTTAATTTCTCGATTTTTAATTGTTACATTTTTTAATGTTTCGGTGTTACAGTTATTCGATTTTGCAAAATTTTATTTTGATAAAAATTGGAAATTAAGCACTTGAAAACTTTAAAATTGAAAAATTGCTAAATCTTTCGTTTTTCGATTTTTTGATGTTTCAGTTTTGGGATTTTTTATTTTTTCGTTTTTCCAGTTTTTCAATTACCGATTTTGCAGTTGTATTTTTAATTTTTCTGTTTTTACAATTTTTGAATTTTTCGCTGTCTCGATTTTTTAGTTTCTCGATTTTCATTTAAAAATTTTTGTAATCTTCATTGTATCAATGATACAATTTTCCGATTTTCAAATATTTTAGTTTGGATAAATTTGTTCTTTTGCTGAAAAATAAAAAACACGAAATTGAAAAATTAAAAAACTAAAAAATTATAAAATCGGCGAACTAACAAAATTGAAAAATCGTAAAATCGGAATTTGGTGTCAGTTTGAATGTGTTTTGTTGTGATTGGTCGGCAGGCGTGCGGAAATTAATGTATGCTGAAAACAATGACCATTGACACATCATTCGTGAACGTACCCCAAATGACATTTGTTTATGTAGGTTATGTTTGCAATTTTCACCGATGATTTTCCGCTGAATTATTGGGTATAAAACAATCGATTTCACTTTCACAAGTAACTAAAAATTTATAAATTCAGGTCCCATAAAATGGCAGCTCTGGAATATTCCGAAAAGTATGCCCGCATGGGTTTATTCTCGAACAAAGTTCACAATTGCAAAATTTGCCCATTCTTCTCCACATCGCTGTTCCGAATGGTAACCCACGTGCGAACCCACCGTTCCCCGTTAACTCATTTCAGCTGCGAAAAATCCAACATTGAAGTATACCTTTGCAAAGATTGCAACTTCGAAACTAACCTAACCTTACCCATGAAAATACACATCAAAAAACACCATAGCCCTCAACTACAAAAAGCAAGTAACTCGCAAGAACAAAACAAAATTCGGAGTTATATATGCAGACA